GTCACTACTATGTATCATAAAGCAGGTACAAGATATTTTACATTCACAGATGTATGATACAGTACCCTCCTACATCAATAATACTAGAATCAGTTTTGGTTTGAAATTTGCTTTGTGTGCAAATAAGATTGCTACCCCTGTTTTTTTCTGGGCTCCTGTCACATGGAGAATTGTTTTCTATCCTTTCACTTTCAGTCTGTGGGCTTCTTTTTGCACTAGGTGTGTTTCTTGTATACAACATATTGTTGGATTTTGCTTCTTATTCCATTTTGCCAGTCTATTTCTCTTGGTGAGTTGAGGCCATTGACATTGATGGTTATAACTGATACGTACTGACTTATTGACATGTTATTGGCCTTTTGTTGACTCTTTTTACTTTTTCACCTCCTTTTAGTTTCTTGCCTTGCTTATCTGATTTGCTCTGTTAGGCCTCATGGTGGTGTTGTCTTCATTGTCTTTTTCTAGGATCTTGTTTAGAATTGCTTGTAGTGCTGGTTTGGTATTATGTAGTTTCTCAGGTGTTCTTTGTCATGGAAGTGTCTTATTTCCCCATCCATTTTAAAAGAGAGTTTTGCAGGATACATCAGTCTAGGTTGGAGGTTGTTCTCTTTTAGTACTTGAAATATCTCATTCCAGGCTCTTCTTGCCCCGTGGGTTTGTGTTGAAAAGTCTGCTGTGATTTTGATGGGCTTTCCTTTGAGTGTGATTTGTTTCTTTTCTCTTACTACTTGTAGTATTTTGTTCTTCTGTTGGGTTTCTGGAATCTTGATTATTATATGTCTAGGTGTAGATTTTTTTTGATCGTGGCTAGTTGGGGTCCTATATGCCTCAGTTATCTGAATGTCAAATTCTTCCCCTCTGTTTGGGAAGTTTTCTGTTATTAATTCTGTGAACAGCTTTTTTAAGTCATTTGTATTTTCTCCTGCTACTTTGTGGATTCCCATCAGTCTTATGTTATTCTTCTTTGCATCATCTAGGAGTTGTTGGATCGATTTCTCATGATCCCTTACTGTTTTTAAGAGACTTCTCTTTTCATGGTCACTGACTGCAATCTTATCTTCTATATCTGAGATTCTATCTTCACATTCTTTTAATCTGTTGCGTACACTTTTCAGTGGAGTGTTTAATCTCCTGGATATCTGTTTGAATCTGTTTTATGGATTCCATTTCTTTCCTATGTTGGGCGTTTATTTTTTCCATTTCTTTCTTATGCTGGACCTTCATGGCTTCTATCATGGTCCTGAGCTCATCTATTTTTTTTGTCAGTTTCTGCTCTAGAGTCTCGAATCACGACTTCCATTTTGCTCACTGATGGTTATCTGGGAAATTATTTCTGTTTTGAATTTTTCTAGAGCCTGATTGATCTGTTTTGCTACTTCCTGTACTTTGCGTTCAGGGTGTCCTGGTAGTTCAATATCGGCCTTTTCATCCTCATTTGCCCTACTGTTTGCCATTGGTGAACTGGAAGTCTGTCCTTGTGTCTTGCTTAAGTATTTTTTCATTTTTATTTTTGTTGTCGGACTGTCCTTGGTTTAATCTCTGGGTTATCACCCAAATCTTCCTGATACAGTTTCGCCTTACCTTCTTTGTCTCTAACAACCCACAGACATTCTCATCTTCATAACATCAGAGAAAACAACTCATCAAATCAACCGCAATGCTTTATCCCAACTGATACAATCAGCAACACATTAAGGTCAAGCACAACTTGGAAACTGACCACCTGTGGTAGTCACAAGTCTATCACCCTTAAATCATTTGAATTAAATTGAAATCAAGAAGCAGTCCAGAACATGTCTGCAGTGAACAAAATTTCAATATAGTGTATTTACCATTTAATGGCTCAGACAGAGCGAGGAGCAAGACCCCTGATCTCAGTTAGCTGATGGCTGAACCTCATGACACTGACTGACCTCAGGCTGCAAGGCCCAGATTGAGTTCCCCAACCTTCTGAATGGTTGAACTCCACACCGTTCTACTACAGGTTTCGCACGCCCTTTCTTTAAAGATGTTCAAAGTTGGGAACTCAGAAAAATACCCTTTATGACCACCTCTGCCTCTGCAGAGTGGGTCCAAAGACTGGCACAATCAGGAGGTCTGAGAGTGTGCAGTGGGGGGAGGGGTGTAAGGGGAGTTATCGAGGTTCAGGGGCACCCATGCGGCTACCTTTTGGGCGCTGGAGTGATGGCAGCTGGGGCGGAAGAAGGCATGGCTCTCCTTCCTGCGGTGGATCAGGGCCCAGGCTACCTTCCAGGTGCTGGAGCGCTGGCAGCTCCCCAAAAAATCTTAACACAGTAAATATAGAGTAGGGACATAGAGCATATTAGAGCAAAACACTGGGAGCTTGCTAAGTCCTGGCTTCCTGGGGATACACTCTAGAGTGTGGGCTTGGAAATCTCCTGGAATTTCTGGGAGCCAGTGAGGTAGTGGAGAGCAAGGCCAGCAGGAGGCTGTGATTTCCTCCAAGTATTGGCCAGGAGCCTGGAGGACATCAAGGAGGGAGGGTGGGGGCTCTGGTTCCCACCTCCCTAGGCATGCATGGAGGATGCATGTGCTAAACATGAGGTGACATGGAACCAAGAGCATGGGGAAAGAAGCTGAGGTCCCCCCGCCGAGGGGTCTGCTTGGGTCCTGTGGGGCTCAGGTGGTTGAGGGCCACAGTGGGGAACGGGGTGCTGGCTGGGAGGTTGCACTGTGAGACACTGGGAAGTCATTGTGCAGAAGGGAAGTTGAAACACAGGC